CTATTTATTTGTCCAATGGTGTTAAGCCCATGGACGGACGTCTTTATGGCCTGTAGGTTTACAGAATATATATGGACTTTATTATATTGCTTGATTGTGTAGGGTAGTTTTTATTTATACTGGCTAGATGCAGAAGTGTACACTCTGATATAGAGGACGTCGTATCTTTGCGTTAGGTTGTCATGCATCATATGCTTATGCGTTAGGTGGACGTGTGCCAAGACTCTAGACGTCATTTTCTAATTTCCTACGCGTTAATTCCACACCTTCCAAATCCCTACGCGTCTCAAATCTTCACGCGTTAATTTCACACGTCCCGAATCCCTACGCGCTAAATTCCACGCGTCCCAAATCCCTACGCGTTAAAATCCACGCGTCCCAAATCCCTACGCGTTAAATTCCTACGCCCCGAATTTCCACGCATTAAATTCCACGCGTTAAATTCCTACGCCCCGAATCCCCACGCGTTAAATTCCTACGCCCCGAATTTCCACGCATTAAATTCCACGCGTCCTAAATCCCTACGCGTTAAATTCCTACGCCCCGAATCCCCACGCGTTAAATTCCTACGCTCCGAATTTCCACGCATTCCAAATTCCTACGCCCGGAAACCCCACGCGTTAAATTCCTACGCCCCGAATTTCCACGCGTCCCAAATTCCTACGCGTTAAATTCCTACGCCCCGAATCCCCACGCGTTAAATTCCTACGCCCCGAATCCCTACGCTCCCAATTCCAACGCGCTAAATTTCTACGTCTCAAATTCCCACGCGTTAAATTCCTATACCTCAAATCCCTACGTGTGAAATTCTCATGCGTCCGAAATCTCCATGCGCCAAATTTTGACGTCCCAAATCCTTTCACCTAATCCCCCGCGCATTAACTCCCTACGTCCGAAATCCTTGCGTGGTAAATCCCTGCGCCATAATACAACGCTAATTGGATCACCGGCTACAAAGACGCGGATAATTTTCAGACAGACAGGAAGAAAGTTTCACTGGATTTTCTGGGAACAAATAGATAGTTCTCTCTCCTTTGTTTCGTAACAGAGTATTACTGCAGCGTTTGGTAATAGAGTTATTATCAAGTTGAAAGCCGTCTCGTACATCGGCCGGGTATTCAATTAGAAACGTAATGGCAGCAGAACAGCTTCTTTTGTCCGGAATTAGGAATAGTCGGGCTTCTAGGGCTAGAAATGACGTGATGTAAGAAATTATCCTAATATTCTTGATCGTGCAATCAGAGAAGTTTATTTGATAGAATATGGGACGAGTAAAATCACCGCTGTATCGACTTTCACAAGGGAACGCTACCATTCGTTTACTATCGATCGCAAGGGGATTTTGTTGGCACAAGGAAAGGAATGCGGTACACTTGACTTTCAAGGGGTCATCATCGCCCCGTTCATCCAAAGCAATCCTTCCATTTTAAAGCAAGACCCAGTATAAAAACGTAGAACATAACTCAAGGGACAACCCGATGCGTCAAAATTAGAACTTTCAGTTTTCTTCGAAGAGCAAATTGCACGGGAAACGATGCATTAATTAGAAATCTCGAGAATTCCCCGCGTTCTAATTTCTCCAGGAAAACTCGACGCTCGACGGATCGATCTCGATCGCGATCCCGAAACGCCCACCGCATCCGGTCGTTCATCCGGCGGTTTCCGGAAGTAGGCGTAGGTGACCGAAATTGATACGAAGTAGCTCCAGAGAGAGCTTTTCTTTCACCTCGCACTCTCTTACACGTGCCCCGAGCCCACACCGTTATCGAACGATAACGAGCGTCACTGCGTCTCAATAATCTCTTCCTCTTTATTGCTTGTTATTCAACAAGTAAACACCATGTATCACATTTACAACGAGCCATTACTTATATCGGTATGGGTTTCTGATGGTGACTATAAGGAGTTGTGGACTATACAGTATAGCCACATATGATGACTATATGTGGCTACATGTGGTATCACATCATATGATATGCATCCAATTAGTGACGGCCTTACGTAGAGATTTAACACACAGGGACATCTACTGCATAGGAATATCTCACACTTAGCGCTTCACCACATACAGGTTCATCCCATAGGGATTTCATGGGGGTATTAATGTTCAGCGCATAGAGCCAGTGCGTAGGGATTTGGCGCATAGGGACTTGACGCATAGAGTTATTGATGCGTCGGGATTTGGCGCAGAGGGTGATCGGCACGTCCACGTCGCATAGGGTTATTGGTGCGTACAGACTTGTCACATAGTGTTATCCCATAGAGGCATTTAGCACCTATTTAGTACGCAAGCATGTACTGCGCAACAATTAATGCGCAAGAATTCGGTGCACAGGGTAACTGGTGCGTAGGGATATAGGCATTCGATGCGCAAAATCCTTGTGCACGTTCAGTACAGGGATTTAATGTGACACTTAGGGAATTCACATGAGGCAGTACATAACGATCTAACGTCATCTAACGTGTTCGGTACATGTTGATGTATAAATTGAACTACTCAGTGCTTCCACATTTCAAACTCCAGAATATAATGACTCTCACGCGAGAGCACGTCCAAACCATAAATCACGAATTGCGACAAAGGCACAATCGCTAATAAAAAGCAGACACTCAAGGAATACCTCGGTATGAATTGAGTGAAAGTTTATCAACTAGTTGTGCCACCGGGGGGACAAAAACGGGCATCCGATCATTATGGATTTCTGCGGTCGATCGTTAGTCATCTTCCACTTTGAACGACTTCTGCCTCGATTTCACCGGCCGTTGCTTAAACGTTGATTCATGATTCTGAGCCAGGTCGAAAGAAACGTGGCTTGTTAGCGATGGTTACCTAACCCGAGCCACCGGTGATAATGACACGTTGCTGGTTCGATCTTTTTGCCTGGTCTCTCACTACGCATGAATGACTGCGAACGAGCATGGCAATGGCTTCATTGTTGGATCGTTAGACACGCCGTTGTGTTGCGCGGCCCACGAATTGACCAGCGCGTTTAACTTTCCCGGGCAAAAACCCTGAAAATCTTGTGTTTCGTAAGCGTGGATAGTTAATCGAGGAATCATTTTTTATCGAAAGCGAGGAGTCATCTTCTGGTTACGCCATCTTTGATTCCCTTTAATTGATACCCTCCGTATGTCCGCGAGTCTATAATCTTAATTCAAACAAAGTAGCAAGATCTTTCCTGCGGCATCCTTGCCTCAATTATTCTCAATTATCGTTCGCTTTCGTTCTCGAGAAATTTAAAACCGAGTGCACATGTACCTGATAGTAGCCTTATATAGACTTGCCCTATGCCCTGGTTCTGCCAAGACACTGGCTTTAACCAGTTTCCTCTTGTTTGCAGCAAGCAGTCAGAGGAGGTCGAGGATCTGAACCATGCTCAGATCCTGATCGCGGAGCAGCACGGGCCCCTCCGGGGTGGAGAGGTGGTGGAACAGGGCACCAAAGACTTCCAAGGAACATAGGGCAACCAGGGTGTGCTAAGCGGAGGGCACGGTCCTGGAGGAGGCTGGAGAATGAGCATGTTCAGCATACTGCGTAGAAATTGGGCACTTCGCGTGTCGGTGGTGCTCAACATCTGCGTGTTGCTCTACGTATGCGCCCACTTCGGCTCCTCCGGGCCCTGGATCGAGGAACCGCCTACCAACTGGGCGGCGCCGTTGCAGTCGGACACTTTTGGCGCCGTGGAACTCGTTAACGGTACCCAAAAGGGTGCCACGTCGTCGGCACTGCCCGCTACCAAGGGTGCCCATGGCGCCAACGCGACCAGCCTGGCTAGGACGAGGCTGTTAACCACCAGGCCGTCTCCTGAGGGCAAACTCGAGACTGTTGACAACAGTCGTGGCCGTAATCAGACGGTAAGTGAGCTTGCGGGTTAGGGTAGACGTGATCGTCTGAATTGCGCTGATTTTGCTGGGGTGCTCACTTAAGCACATTAGCACACCAGATTGATGGCACCACGTTACAATCCTCCACCACAGATTTATGTTGCCTCAAGGTTTCCTTGAGAAAAAAGTGACACTTGAAGCTTCATGGTAAACTGAACACTGCACCAAAATATTCACAATGATCAACTACCGTGTCCACTTGTTCGGATAATCGAATCTCCGTATTCAATGCTATCCTTGTAAATTCACGCTTGTTAGATTATAATAAATCAAACTGGTAGTCGAGAAATTGAGTCGTTAGATGAGGAGCTCGATAAAACGTGATTTTCCTTCGACCTTTCCTCTCAATTATCGCAATTGTACGAGAGATTCTTGCACTTGGCTCGAGCGAAGAGCTATGACTATGACTGTTAATCGTGGCAGCTCAATCTATTCCATGACATCATGATGTTAACAAATCAACTGCTTCTGATCGAATCAACGATCGACCCGTGAAATTACCCGCGCTACAGGATATAAATAACAACTCGGCGAATAATTCATTGACCCTTGTGAACAGCTGATCGTCTGGGAGAGTTGGTCGGGAAAAAGTGACGTATATAGAGAATTATGAATTCTAGATCACTGAAGAATTCGAAAAGAGTACTTAGGGGACTTATAAATAAATAATAAAATACGTGGTCGAAAATATTATACCGTGTACATTCGATCTTTTGGAAGGAAGGTTAGCTAAGAACCTCTCTTGTTTCCAACCTCGGCCCGACAAGATTACCGATGGACGAAGAATCTCGATGGGCAGGTTCATCCTTTTTTCACCTTTTATCGCGTATATTTCGTTCACGGCTGACGTCACTGCTTTTACCTTCCCCTCAGAACCTTTCACCAGCATACTACTTTTTTTGTTTCCTTCAAATAACTGGTTAACGTCGGGGTGATCCTTTTTCTTCCGCTGAGGGCAAGAACTAATTTTTTCATTTTATATACTGTGCCATTTTGTGGTACTTTCAGACCTCTCATAAATTGTTGATTAAGAATAGCTTCCTTTCATTTATTTTTCCCGTCGTATTTAGGGAATAATTTGCATTGATTTCATATTGACTGTTCTTTGTCTTAAGGTAAATAGCAGCCTGCCATCGGCCCGATCAACGATGAGCCTCAAGGAGGCCATCCTCTGCAACGAGAAGTCCCTGAATCCGAGGAGGGCCCAACGTGGCGACTACTGGGTCCTTTACAACTACGTGCCGATGAGCATGGCTGTGAGATGCTGGGAAAGCGTGACCTACACCACTCACGCGGACTACACGTTCCTGGACAATCTGGAACCGTTGCTAGAGCGATGGAGGGCGCCGATATCGATTGCGATGCACGCCCCTGGCACAGACTTCGCGGCGACGCTGGACGCCATCAAATACTCGAGAAACTGTGGCAGCCCACTGATCTCGCAGCTGGTCACCTTTCACGTCTTCTTCAGTAGCAAACACGTGCCAAAAGTGGTGGGTATATCTATGACCCCAGGCTAGCTACGATAATTAAGAATATGAGAAATCACGCTGGCCCTACGGGTAGTCCATTCATATAACTCGAAGGGACCTCCGAAGGAGCTTGACATTAACATCTGTTTCTTCCATGCAGGTACCTCCAAGCGAAAAGGTCATGTCTGACACGTACAACTGCTCGCTGGGACCGCCATGGGTGAACGTGACGTTTTCGAAGATGTACAAAAACGAGAAGAAGCTGCTGTATCCCGTGAACGTCGGCCGCAATATAGCGAGGGAATCAGCGCCGACGCATTACGTGTGCGCCAGCGACATCGAGCTTTATCCGAGCCCTAACTTGCCCGCGAAGTTCCTCGAGATGATCAGGCGGAGAGACCAGCTGAGCCTCTACAAGCCTAACCCGAAAGTTTTTGTACTGTCCATCTTCGAAGTGGACGAGAAGAGCCAGCCGCCTAATAACAAAACTCAGTTGGTAAGTCAGGCGCCATGTTTAATATACAAACATCTCTGAGAAGGAAGATGGCCGTCATATTCCCTGCACTGTTGTGCCTTATTGACCTCCGATCCTCGTACAGATATAAGTGGACAGAGAGAGCGGAAGACAGGGAAAAGTTATTATTAGCCGCAAAATGGAAGCACATGAAAGGATAGCGCGGGTCCGTTCACACTTGACATTTAAGCAAAGAGAGATTGGAGGTAATTAAGTGCGTGCGAAAGAGCATGACAACGACTGCACAACGTCTGACAATGCGTTAAATGGCACAGACACGAGGGTCATTTAATCAATGTCGCTTCCTTTGACCGTGGACCTTGATGCGCACAATTAATGGCGTTGGGAAGTGCAGCTGGCGACTGCCCGCACTTCCATCAAATATTCTATTCAATTATATCAACTTTCTCGTTTGGTTCAGCTTCCTTTCTGTGAATACTATGTATCTCTTGAAACGAGATTTCTCTTGGAGCGTTTGCTTTCTGATTGAGATGTTTATTTGTCTTGCAGGCTCAGATGTTGAAGGCTGGCACGGCTATTCCTTTCCACAAGAAGCTATGCTCCAGCTGCCATAACGTTCCTCGAAGCAAAGAGTGGCAGGAAGCGCCGGAAACCGAAGGTCTTCACGTGTTCCACGTTGGTAAACGGACTGGCAGCTTCGTCCACTGGGAGCCGATCTTCATAGGGACCAATCATGATCCTCTCTACGACGAGAGGCTCAGTTGGGAAGGAAAAAGCGACAAGATGACACAGGTAGCTTTACAAAACTCCACTGTAAATAACTCCACTGCAACGTCGGATTCTTTCTTATCGCTCCCTTATCGGTCAAATTATAAGATCTACTGCTTCCACAGCAATTAAGTATGAATGGCCAGAATTATCAGTGAGTTCATTTCTAATCTAGGGTTACGCGTTATGCGTCCTCGACTACGACTTTCTCATCCTGGACAACGCGTTCCTTATCCATCGGCCGGGTATCAAGATCTTCAAGAAGGATCCACACAGAGAGATGCTCACCGCCAAGACGAACGCCTTGATAAAGAAGATAATCGTCCCGGAATTGAAAATCCTGTACGGTACGCGGAAGGGCTGTGCCGTGTAGCCCTCAGAGATAAGAGCACGTTGCGTGCTCCATAGGTGTCCTATAGTGAAGTGGCAGCACCTGCGACCGTCCTCGACGTCCAGGATGTCCGTGATGCAACGAGACACCAGCGATGGTCGCAGCAAACTTCTTCTGATCAGACGTGGCTTCGGAGTACAGGTCCACGCTCGCGTTTCCGATGAACCTGTGAAACGAATCGTCGGACATTATAGAAAATAACGCCAATTGACACGGTGCCGAAAATAGAGAGTATCTTCAAAGGGACAACCTCGCGTTTGACTTCTCCTATGATTGTTAGTTCCTGCAACGAGTTACATATTGTACTACATCACTCCTTCGTTTCTCGCTGACTTTTTTCATCCTCTTCTTCTTACGCAGTACAAAATGGCAGCATGAACAGAACATCACAGACTCGTGGCGTGTAGTTCTCTTCACTTGTAAAAGGGTCTTGTTACACGTATTTTTCACCCGGAGGATAGCTAGAGTAATTGTACATACTAGTGTTGAAAACGGTGCCTCGTATATATATTATATATATACATATATCTATACGTTTACAACAATGTTGTGGTTCGGTGAATGTGTGCATTTCTGTTCCCTCTTCTCTTCAAGGGGAGAGAATAATTGTTTTAAACGAGCATCTACGTATGCAGAAACATGCCAAAAAGTACACTGCTCAAGTTAATTAAGCGATCTTGTATTTGGAATGCAATTCCTTCGAAGGAAGTTTTATACCGATAGGATTTTTAATGACTTTTGTTTCAAAATGGGTTATGATCCTCTAATTATTTTGAACAGTGTAACAGAACTCTGCACTTCTACTTTTAATTAAGTTTATTTATCATCTCATAGGAAGTGTAGAGCGTTGCTATCATCCAAATGACTGAAGTCATATCTTGTTTTCATCAGTGATGTTTCGTTACTCTTAACGTATTTATGTTGCAACACAAACCTATCATGTAATATTAAGCGATTTGGTTACGAAATATGCGAAACCAAATAAACGTGTATAAAATGTAAAGATGCGTAATCACACACTTAAGTCAGATACAACGTTATTTCGTTAACTGTTTAGTTTTGTGTTCTTCAACGAATAACGTGGGAAAAGTAATCGAACACGAAGCCAGAAACATTTTACTCTCCAAGACTGAAGAACATTTGATAACAGTTTACTAGGACATATATCCTAATAATCTTTGAACGTCGAGTCATTAGTTGTTTAACGATTCTTTACTTAGCGTAATGAATTAATATTAACGTGTTTCTTTGTACACTTCTATTGCCGATGAAAAATTGGTGCTTCCAAGGGTAGAAATTGTTTTTTCTAATCGCTGAAGAAAGTCTCGGGATGTAAGAATAATTTCTCGCGTAATACGTTACGTAATTATGTGCTAATATTTTTACTCGATAACTACTCGAAAAAAGTATTATACGTAGATCACATTCGGGAAGAAATATTTCAACTTTGCGTGTCATTGTATGAATATCTTAAATATTGTAAATATGTCTGTACCTTTAAGCGTAATGTAACTTGTACTATTTTACACAATCGGTTAGGTACTGAATGTGAATTTCAATACTCTAAGGTAAGAAACGTGCTGTCATGAAATGTTCGACGCGTCCATGGATTGCAAATTGCTATAATTTTATCGACGAAAACGTAAAACAGTTTTCTGAGGTTTCTTCAGGACATTTAACACGCAGTATATTTTCACTTGGTTACAATATGTTTTTCTTTTATCAGTGAAATCAGAAACTGTCAAACAAGCCATGGCAGTAAATGAGTGAGATAGTAAAAATGTGCATAATCCAACTAAGGGTACTCTCACTAGTCAAAAACTTAAGTCACTATTTCCTAGTAACCAATTGTACGTTTAAGTTTTCTGACGTTAACATGTTGACTGCATTTACAATGGGTGGCATATAGTTGAATTTCCATAGAAATCCACCAACTATGTTATTAACAATTCTATTACTTAGTTAAAAATAATGAAAATTTGGTAAAGCAATGTTAGATCAAATTTCCAATAGCTTCACCGTAGCAATCAACGTGTTAATACTGAACTGTTCAAGTGAGTAAGTTTCTTTTTGTGCGAGTACTCTGAATAGTGTGTGACGCATGCACAATGCACACAATTATAATATTACAATACTACATTATACATACACACACATTTGCAACATCTTTTTTATCAATGCCCCGAGTAATCTGAAAAAGGCTACAAGTGTAAATATGATTTTGTTTTTAAGACTTGGTGAACTAATAATGTCAGTAATGTCTCACTAATTGGGGCAATATTGTGTAAAAATACTGACTCATCTTTTTGTGATAACTATAGGGCACAAGCTAATTACTATTTCAATTGTTTCACTGATTATGGATATGAAAAACAGTTTAGTTGAATTCCAATTATCATAAGAAAACAGTTTTACAAATTGCATTTTAAGTGGATTGAAATTATATGGAAAGATATTGGAGAGAAGACAGGGTATTGTCGTGCAAAAAGGAAATGATTTATAATTATATTTTATGGTGGAGGTTTAAATTTCTTTTAAATGATTGATCTACAAATTATCATTTTAATTTTTATTAAGTTTAAAAAAATATTTATTTGGTGTAAACACTGCTCAGTAATTGTACAATTCTTATAGATACCAGTGATGCATTTTCACATAAAGGTCCTGATAAATAATTTCACTTGTGAAATCAGATTTCTATGACAGGATAAGTTCCTTTTATGCTCTTGCCTTTTTTTTAATTCGTCGGGGCTGTGCAATCCGGTGTAATGATTGCTGGTAAATAATAATGTGTATTCTGTGCCTTATTGTCTTTATCTTTAATGCGTATATGCGTATGCGTGTGCGTTTGAAAGTAGCGTGTTTGACTTGAAAGCACTCTAAAATACCCACTCAATTGTAAGTAGTTAATCATAATAATAAAAATGTTTCTAAGGTGCGTATGCATCTTTGAACTCCTTACTATAAAAGGTAAATTCTTACTCTTGCTGGATCAGTTTCCTTCAAGACTTTCCCAGTGTACCCACTCAAAATCAATTCGCATGAAAAGTTTAGGAATATCACATAATTTTAATGATGCATGACACCATAAGACATTTTATTATTATGACTAACATATAAAGAATTCTTCGTGTAAACATGATTTACCTACAATACGCTTTTTATAATAACAAAAAATGAAAGAAAGATGTTCTCCAATGGCATTTAATTTCTTCGTAATACAATTAGGTTTTAATTGTAATTCAACTTCGTTGAATTTATTTTTATCTGCTGAGCACTTTATTGTAGAGTGCCAGAATGGAAAAAAAATTATAAAATTATGGAAGAAATAAATAAAATCACTATATATTATAAACGTATGTATTGTAAATATTAATAGCCAACGGTATATATTTTCAGTGTTATGCTGTAAATTTGAAGAAAGTTGAAACAAGAATTTTTCCAAATTTGTTACGGATACTATATGAAAGTTTCCTGTGAATGTTATCATCTAAGACACAATGAAATAATCAAACAGAAACAATAATGATTTTAGTATAAATTTTAGATTTCAATATGATCGTTTTAAAGATATACATACAACTTTTATAAACTTTAAATATTCTATGTGTTTAATACAAAAGAATTATATGTATTATTAGCTAAAACACTTTATGTTAGGCTGTATAAAAATATATATATTAATGGTCAAACATACTGTACAAAACAATAATCTATTATAGAAGTTACATTTGAATGATACTCTTGGAGAAAGTGATACTTTAAAGAAAAAAGAAAGTATTTGTTGTTAATATAAGTTAAACTACTATCGAACATGTATATTAATTACATATTATATTTACATCAATGTTTCTCTTTGCTAGAAAGTGTTTGAGAAACATTGTATCTATGAACATATGTATATTATACTTGTGTAAGCACATAAAAGAAATCTTACTTGACTTTGTTTTTGTACATATGTACGTAAAATTGTATTTTTCCAAATAACAGGCTAGAAATATAAATACTATTTGAGTAAGTTTCAAAAGACCTCAGTTTATCCCTTGATAACAATTTATTGAATTTCAATCATTCTTTTTTTGTACCGTTACAAGGAATATTAACAATTTTCATCGACTCAAAGTCTCGTGAAGAAAACATTTACAAGCATTTGTATATTTCAGTTTATTTTAATTAAAATATACAGATTTTAAACGTGATCACACATTTGTTCAAGTTCGCCTCCTTCGACCTAGTCTTAACCTGAGATAAACCACTATTAATTTTTCGTTCACTACGTGTTTCTGATTTCTTTAATAAATCCCTTCTTTTTCTTGTTATTTCTTTCAATTCTCGGAAAATACTCAGCTTCGATGACCTATGTAGCGAATGTTATATCTACAAGCGCAACCAGACGGATTCATCCTTTACTACTCCACTCTTTTCTCTATGTATATTATAATCATTTTTTTTTTTTCATGTATATAAATAAACGCTAGCAAAAATTTTATTTATTTCTTCTCCTATGAGCATAATCATCTACAATTTTTATCTACACGTATATAGACACCTTATAAATATACGTGTACAGTTTATATATGTATTTAAATATATATTTGTATATGTTTAAATACATATTTATATATTTATATGTATATATAGTGACAACTTTATGGCATGCACCAAGAAGAGACACTCTTAAAGTATATACTCTTTATTTTTTTATAAGGATAAGTCTAACATTCGTTCCTTTTAAAATTTGTTTTAGTCTTTTATCGCTTAATATCTAATGAAAAACTTTCTTCTTGGTCCATGATGTACTAATACACTTTATATATATACATATATATATACAATTAAATGGTAACTATTGTAGGCACGTGTTATTATTTATCATATATTCCTCTCGACTCTTTCACAGAACTTATGTTTCTTTTGCACTGTCTATAATGAAACATAAAAATATAAAAATATTGATAAAGTAATATAAACGTGTACTTTCCAAAGTATATTTTAAATAGTCAAATAACCTGTGGACACAGTAAATTCTTTTATCACAATGTTATTTGTTAAAAATATTTCCTAGTGTTTCACGTCAATTAAATTGATTTCAAAATCTGTATTGTAAAAATAAAATCATTAGTCACATTCTTAATCATTTCTTTTACAAAAAGCAAAAATGAAAATTCCAATATATGTATAGTGAATATGTAGACCATGCAAATCAAAATTGTAGTACACATGCATGAACTTACTGCACCACTTTGATTATCAGCAGTAAATTATTTGTAACATGTTTAGCTAAATTGACCTGAAGTACATTTTGCAGTGCTACCTACTCACATGCTTTAAATTATCTTAAAGTAATACCACAAATTCAAAATCACATACATAAAAAAAAAAGAACAAAATTTCCAATAATTTGTATTCCTACTTAACAATTTAAGCACTGATTTATATAAAACACCTGCATGCTGATTTCAGCAATTCATTATTATACAACTATAAACAAATGAATTTATTACTTATTTAATTCAACCACTTCTTTAAATTGCTCTAAATATAATCTATATTTTGTATCGCATAATAGACAGTCATTTTGTTGCTTTGTACCAGGCAGTTGCTATTCAAGACTTCGTCACACGTACTTAAGTGAACAATTAAATACTCGCAATAATGATATATAAGAATCATGACAAGCTATCCTTAAAATCTTTGATGTAGAAAGATGCTTGGACTTTGTGCTGTTATTATATAAAGTTAAATATCAAAATTTAATGATTACATCTCGCTTTTTATACTGAATCTTGAATAACCACTCCATATTTAGCCAAAGCTGATCAGTGATTACGTACCTACATTCTAGATATTAATAATTTCTAAATCTTACTGTAAGCAAATTACATTCTCTTTAACTATTTGTTAATCACCTTAAAGTCATTTCCTCATAGAAGACTGTAACACTTAAGAGGAATCATTGGAAAAACATATTTTCTATAATTCACATATACACATTTTTTCTCCCTTTGATACAATCATGCTATCTTTTCTTTTATCTCTCATACAATTTATACATATGTTCATGTACTTTCTCAGCTTTCCCTTTCTATAATTAACACCTCGATAAGCTAGTCAAATATTAGAAAGCATATAATAATGGAAGGAGTTTCTCAATATTAAGCCAAGGTGATATTTTAGCGGAACAAAGCAATAGAAATATTAGTTTTCGATAACGAAAAACTTCTTCTAATAAATATACATTTCGATTCGTGTCAATCATAATTTAACTAGCATTCATTTTGAACTAGTAGTAGCTTACTATCTGAAAAACAGGAACATTTCAGTTATCTTCAAAAAAGTAAGATAACGATACTTTCTTAAATCAAAATTACGATTGTGTTTTATGATGGAAAATGCCACACGCGGACAACAGGATTAATCGGAAAATACACGTGCAATTCTATTAGTTTCCGATTTTGTCTATGTGAAACACGAAAAATAAAAGAAACCACGTTATATCACTCAATTGGTGTTTATATATTATTGCTAACATTAGTAACGTTTAAAAGTACGCAAATATGAAAAATACGATTGATTTCTCACCCGTAATGTGCCGTGGAAGTTTAAGATGCCGTTAAGAATGCGCGGGAAGTCCGATATGGTGGGTAGTTGAGCTTCGGAACGACTTCGGAAAAATTCGGGTGGGATCGAGTATAATTTCCGCATGCGCACAAGTGTTTGATACTTTAAAAGATAGAATATGTGACTACGTAACCTGTGACAAGATAATTCATGACATTTCAGCGCATATCAACACAACGCGCAGCGATACAACACGTTGACAATTCAACGCAACGATAATAAAACATATTCTCGACCAATTTTACCCGAGTTTTTCCGAAGCCGATTCGAGCCCGCGATTTCGGGTCCCGACACATCCTTAACACCATTGCATCAGTAACAAGCTGTTGTCCTACTCAATATTTTCATTTGCTTACAATTAAAACAGTTGAAGAGGAGGTAATTATATTAAAACAGAGAACAAGAAAGTTAATTTTTATATGAATTTTGGTCCATAAAATGCAAGCCCAATTCCGTCGAGGCGTCTGGAAAACTTGATCGTGATAAATGATCTTGCACACAGCATATCCTTGACGCGTAAAATTCAAGATAAAATGCGATAGTACAATATTTGTAACCAGCATACGTTCCATAGAAATGAAAATCAACACGCGCTGAAGAAAAACGACGAGGGTAAGAAATAATACCCTGTGAACAAGTAACATAATCAATACGTGTTACTCTACCTCATTTTCCAAGGCGTTTAATTCGAGATCGCGTGCTTAATGATCTAGCGCTCGGATTGTAAGGTGATTTCACTCTTTTAGCCATTCCGGAACTAGAATTGCATCCTGTGTTCGTAGGATTGATCGTAGAGCAAGTCCCGTTTCCAGTATCACTATTATTTTGTTTTATACCGGATGATAACGAAGACGATCTTACTCTACTCGACTGAAGGTATCCGTTATTACTAGACTGTTTTAATTTACTTGGCAATGAAAGTCGACTTTGCTTTACCATTCCGTACTGATGTACTAATTGTGCAGATATCGTGTGACCATTTATCTCTACGTTACGCGAACGCAATGTTTTTACAGGTGTCGCAGCAGCAATGGTGTCCGACCTAGAAAAACACAAACGATGTTGCAGAAACGTTCAACGCAAACTTGCTTCTGTACACGAATATACCATGAAGAAAAGAACTAACCTAAGCCAACGTTGCGGAACAGTGTCCGACGAACCTATAAGAGACATAGTTCGACTTATCCTTCGTTCGTTACAACTATTCGTTGACCGACTACTTTTTCCTTGATCCCACTCTCTTGCACCAAGACTAGCAGCCCACAGTTGTTTTAATAGACCTTTGAAAGAGGGTCTTCTGATCGCCTTTACTGGCGTGGCTTTCTTTCCCAAATTTCTTTGGAAAGTGTTCAACGAGGAAAGTCTTTCTTGCACAGGTACAGTTGTAGCACCGGTCGTGGAACAAGCGATGTTTGACTCTGTAGTAGAGCCACTCAAACTACTACTTGCACCTTTTGTAGCCTGGTTTGCTGGGTCGTTCTCATCGACAGGGTTTCGACGGTCTTCCGAACGCGTTCTCCTTTTAACACAGGTTTCTTGTAACATACACGATTCGTCAGCCGTGCTAACTACACTCTGCGATATTGCACTATGTCTTCGTTTACTACCAACAGCACTACTCCTTGTTTTATTCGTCGAATTTCTTACACTTTCCTCCACTGTGTTTTCTGTCACCGATACCTTTGTACTGCGCAACTTGAATCTCGAATTTACGTACGTCTTTGTTTCTAACGAACCTGAATCTATAAGAGTATTTCGCGAATGCGTGTTCAAACTGTGCCTTCTTCGTCCGTTTCTAATTTCCGCTCTCGTGGTAGAGAATAACGTGGACTGTTTATGACGTGGTTTACTTAAAACGTCATTTTTTATTTCATTCTCGTTACCAGTACTTTCTGAGATAACTTTACTTTTCGTTTCGTTACTGCTAACATTAGAAGAGTCTACGTCGTTACATTCACTAGAAAATGCACTTTGGTGTATCACATTTGTAACGCTAACATCGTTTTTGTTTTCTAGTCCAGGAGATTTGGAAATGTTCTCATGAATCAACACGTTATCCGATTGCTTATGTAGTTTTTCTGACTGGTTTTTATCAAGTCTTTCAACTTCTTCCATCGTTGTATCTTCGTTGGATTCAACGATATCTGTTACTAAATTGCCGACTATTTCGTCGGAAATAGATTCTATGACTTGGGTACTATTATCTAGAGGAGTCTCTTCAACATTTGTCTGCATTATTTCGTCTTTTGTTTGATGAGCTTTGTCAGAATTTTCATCAACTTTTTCTGTTAACATCACATTCTCTGCTTTTGATTCTTTATCGTTGTTTTCAATTCCATTTAAGAAGTCTGGTTTCTTGAGATCAACATTATGAGTTACTATTGGAGAAGGTCTCGGTATGCTTCGAGCGACTGGATTAGGAGAAATCTTTTCTAAATTTTCAGAAATAGGTGTAGGTATAGGCGTATGTGCAGTGTGATGCGGTACGACACATTCTTTCTGACTCAATAAAACCTTTAGAAAAAAGATAGACTTTCGTTAATGTTCCTAACGATAATTTTCTCAAGTTCTTCCTAAAAAAAAGTATAAGTACCTCGCTACGAGATGGACCTGGTGGATCCAACATTAATGTAACCACGCTCGTATTATCAGCGCGTAATCTTTTCGATGACCACCTTTCCAATGCTCTATCTACTAAACTTTTTGAGGGGTTTATCCATAATTGTACGTTATCAGCTTGCTGTTAAAAATTATTAAAAACATTCCATTAATTTATACAACTTTATTATTCATGTAAAAAGTCTATTAGAACATACCCCATTACATGTTTGCTGAGAAGCAATTAGATGTTTTTCGTTATGCCTATCAGCGGCTTGAACAATAGCCACTGCAGCTTGGGGCGTCAACATATTCCACAAACCATCAGTTCCAAAAATGAGGCAACGATGCGATTCAACATCTATTGCAACTACATTAACATCTGGCTCAGGAGATACGACAAATGTATCCAATTCAGAATTGTAACTCCACAGATCACCTACAAAGCACAAGATACTTGATAAGATTATAAAACACATAGAATTAATAGCTTCTTTTTATCGTTTCAAACCGTACCTAATGACCTAGCAACAGCAAGGAAAGGAATTTCGTCTATGTGAGTCGATCTTCGAACTGGTCCTTTGTGCCCTATGCGTGGTCTGTTCCATACAACTCTTGGCACTCCAGATTTAATAACCACTTTACCACCGGATTTACGTATCCTTAACATTTCAGGAACACTTTCCGGTTTGTGGTCTCTGGTCAATGCCTTAGCCCTCCACTGTGGATCACCATCATCTTGGTAGCCAAGTATTATACCAGAATCTCCAACATGGCCTATATAAATCTTGCCCTTGCGAATAAATGCTATACTCGCAGTGGTTCCCGCCGTAGATGGTAGTCCGGACGCAGTTCTTGGCCACTTGTCTATCACAAAAGTAGAGTATTGTCAAGAACCAAATTCACTGGTGATCGTTAGTAAACTACTTTTTTATGATTCCCTGTTACACGAACAACAAATTAAACACTGAGAGATGAACGATATCGAACCTTTTCTCTCAACTAATTTTTATTTCAGTTGATACTTTCAGGTTAGCTCGGATTACATAACCTAAATTCTAACCTAATCGGGCACAGGTGGTGGGGGAAATACGCGGGACAATGAGAGAAATTCTTCGACCAACGTTTGATACAAGAGTTTTTTGGACGAACGCGTTCGGAAAGAGCCGAGACCTTAAAGGAAACGTGGAAAACGATGAAATAACGGGACAGAAAATGTAAATAAGATTCTTACCAAGCTCCCGCCACATCGCATAGTGCGTGTTCACGTATCCGTCTCTGATGGCTCGTAGTACGTCCTCGTCGCGTTCACTCCAAAAGTTTTTCTGTTTCACAATATCGTTCATTAAATGTTCTTTGGCAAAGGTAGCCGCTTCACCGCCGCCGTGGCCGTCGAATATTCCAAAAAAGGCATATTCAAGATCTTTGTCATCCGGTGTGGACTGAAAGGCCACGCTGAACATGTCCTCCATGTACTTACGACCGCCCTGATTACAGTGTCCGGTCACTCTTAGGTTAACCCCAATACTCAACGGCATGGTGGACACGCCGGTGACACGGGATACCGAGAAGACGAAACTTTCTTCTTTACTACGCACTGTTCCGACACGTACACGGGAACGGAAACCTCGTATTTACTGGGCAGGTCTGCGCGTAGCTCGAGGGACGCACACACACTACGACGATCATGGCCCCACACGGCACAATGACGTTGCGCCCAACGGAGTAGGGCAAGAGGGGTCGTCCCCTCTATGATTTCACCGTCGCCAGTGCGCCGCACCACGTCCGACGTTTCGAGAGAATCTTCAAACGGAAGATTTTCGAGCGGTGCAACAGGGTTTTCCCCAGTTTTCCCCCTGATACCCTAAACGCACCCCTACGAGGTTAACATCAGACTGTTCGACATCCTGCATACGTGACCACGAACGACCGTATATGCGATTGTCGTTACACTATAAGTGAGCGAATACATAGCTTATTTTTCCCCCACTTCGGAGATATTGAAGCGTAAACGAGCGTTCTTTTGGCGCTTAGCGATTGTTCGTCGGATCGAATGTCTGACGCGAACGAATGCTCTAACGATACGTTCGGCGAATCCGATATAATTCGATACTTTTCAATCTCGTATTAATTCGGCAAGTTGCAATCTGACGCGATTTAACTCAACGTGTCTAAATTCGATACGATTCCACATAACACAGTTCGGATCAATGCGATCCAATTTGGCGCCATTTATTTCTATACAATCCGACATGATTCACTTTGGCGCGTTTTAATTTTATATGTTTTAATTGCATGCGACTGAACATGGCGACTAGTTCGACTCGATTAAGTTTTCCATGCTGAACACTCGAATGCTTAGTTTAAACTTGAAACTACGAACATTCGCTCGTATTCAGCTGTTTAATGTAACCGAACACTTTGCTCGATAGCATTTTGACGAAACGAGCGCGAACGAACGCTCCCGTTCTTGCTTGTTCAAACGCATTCTAACTGCATACCGTTCCAAGTTTTCAAATATACATCGCGAAGTTAAGCGTGAAACTCAAATCGATTCGCGCGCAGATTTTACGCGGGATCATTAATGCGTATGTGTTAGGCGAGTCTCAAAATCATCTGATCATGGTGTATACTTTTTCAGATAATTATTGTCGTCGGTTTTATCGTCATCCAGCATACATTAAACGATATGTCGCTTAGAAGGGATTCTAGGGAATTCGATTTATCCCGCTTCGAATTTAACCGGGAAATTAGATGTGCTCACGAAATAACCAAAAATTCTCCGTAAACAGCAACACGGTAACATTACCTCGGTTATATTACGCTCACCAATGACCACCACACGCATAGCGTATCGCTTCCCCCTTCCGTTCCAGCGTTGCCAACCCATCCCTACCACCATGGAAACTTTTACCCTGCCCCTTGCCCCGATAATCCCCTGACAACTGGGCGGCCCATCAACGTCGGTGCTATTCATGCCGCGCATCTCGGCTCACGCAGTTGCCCTGTTGCCTCGTTTTCTTCTTTGAACTCGGGCTTTCTTGTCCAACAAGCTCGAACTTGTCTCCGAGAAACTTTTTTTCAAAATACCACTATTAACAGCGACATCGAACAAAACGACTGTACATAACCTTATCCTAGTCGCATTTCGATCGCCGTTTACGAGAAGGCTAGGAAAATCCGGGTAAGATTGAAGAACCAATTTGAGATACTCATTGGCCCATGTAATATTTCGTTTATGCTCGAATTTAAGTTTCCCTCTTCGTTTAACGTTCAAAACGTCCGACAGACGTTTGCGAAGTTAGGTTGTAGACTCGTTAAATAACTAGGAATTATGGTTTCATTTTTGCGCAGATATATTCGAGGAACTAAAACGCTGCGACAAATCAAGTGAAAAGCAAACATTCTGTTTTGTAAGGCAGTGCAGTTATCTCTTTCCAAGAGTGAAACACGGGGCACGTGTTTGAACTTGCTCGCCATGCGATCTGGCAACGCTGTGCTTCGTTCAAAATAGCACTCCCAGCTGGCGGCTTTCGCTTAGCATTCGATAGGATATGGTTCGATAAAGATCGTTTTGTATCATCTTAGGAAAACGATGTAATTGTAATCTTCATTTGCACTTTGTCTTATCATGGAAATTGACCGTAAAGGGTTTGGCAAATTCAAAAGAGACTGGCGACACGGTCGATACGTGCCATCGATTGCATCATCTTAAAAAGATGGCTGTTCCTTTCTGCTTGGAAACAGTTATGCGGAAATACATACAGTTCAGTTATTTCTTTTACACGCTACTTACATTAAACGTTGAAACTGATTCAATTTTAGTAATCGAGCAACCGAAACGAATCTGAGACTAATTCTTGATTATTGATTGGAAAATAAAATTGATATAAATAGAAATGCTGTAAACTGCAAGGAAATGCAAGTTGAAACTTTTGAACTGCGTCTGCGCTACCATCTATCGACTTACAGGAAAATCATGAAAAACCACAGCGACTGATAAGAACGGGATAAAAAATTGTTGTGGAACGTATTCTGCATCACAAAATAAAGATTGGTAATCAGAAACACGTTATCAATGTTTATACATGCATAATCTTTTAATATAATTAAAGTAATATCAATTTGAACATGTAATATACATTATTTAATCAAAAATAATTTTAATTACTAACATTTTAGTTACTACCAGTCACTGTGTACTTCAATATTATTTCAACCTGGATGCAGGAATAATTTTGCACTTTTTCAAAATGCAGTTTGATAGTACTTTGTCAAGTAGCTGTACTGTCAGCTGATTTAAAAAAAAATTACTGCGGTTAATTTTATAAAAGTACTATACTGACAAAATTAGTGGGAATAGTCTTTCTAGTTACAGGTATGTACACGTATGTATACATTTTATTAGCACATTTAAAATTACTTCTTCGCAGAACAGACAGGTATGGGAATTTGACACACGGATTCCTACATACCGGGCTGAATCATCCGAAAACCGCCGAGACAAGTCGGTGCAGGTTCAGTCTTGTCGACTGCATAACGACATCTCCAACGTACCGACGGGTTACCATGCAGAATGCATCAATGATGTAGGCGAATCTTTTTTGAGGATGATTCATTGAAGATACACAAGAGACTTGCAGCAGAAATATTCATTGTAATTGACTTTTTATTACTGTTGGCGCCTATGGACGCTTGGGAAAATCGTTCACCGTGTACTTAGGAGGCTAATTGATTAATTAATACACGGAGGTTTAATAGTTATAAGGTTTTACTGGTTTGTAATTGTTGATTACAATTTCTTTAGCATATTTTAGGACCTTGTTGCTTTCCTTTAGTGAAAGGGTATATCAATATATTTACTGATGTATAGTGTGACTGCTAAATCACAGATATTGTAGAAATAGTTTGTTATAAAGTAATTAATAAAAGAAGTTAAAAGTATTTAGAAAGTGTGTTCTTTTGTGTTATTTAAAAATTTACTTTCCCGCGCTTTCTCTAAAAGAGTACCGCTGCACCATCTAGCGGTAAAACGTACGAATTTATCGAAATTGATGTTGATTACAATTTTTATCATTTTTCCGTCTCACAAACACTTTTAAAACGTTCTTAAGGTAATTAGAACTTTATTCTCAGGTAAAATTATCATTAAATATCGTTTATTACACTGATAAAATCTAAATTAGTAAAAACAAGTAGGAAAAAGGGTACGTGTGGCGCCATCTAGCGGCAGTGCGGCGAACTAACGTAACTACAGTTTCAAAACCGTGTAGTTCACCCCGTTCGCCGGAGAGATGGCGCCACTAGTACCGTTTTCCGACCGGTCATAATTAATATTAATTTTTTCAGCTTAATTAAAAATAATGTGCATCAAATTGCTTCTAAAAATCAATTATAATCAGTTCTAGAATCTTTCAGAAGTGTTTGTAGCTCGCAAAAGTTATTAAATGCAAAAATTGTATTTCCATTTTAGTTCCATTAGTTCCCACCTGTCACCGCTAGATGGCTGGCGATTTTTTAGTCCACGTTTCGAACCTTTTTTCAATTTTCGAATACAATGCTTCTAGCTGACTGTAAAGGTAATTTTCTTACTGTACTGTGATCATAGATCCACTTTTCAGTGTTAGCAACACGTAAAAACTTATTTAAAGAAAAAATGAAGTTTTTTGTTCTTCGAGAAAATGCGCGGTAAATTTGAATTTTAGAAACACGCGTGCCAGGTACAGACACAAATACAAATAATAAATAATAATATAAATATGAACATGAAATTCGATTATAAAAGAACGTTAATTCGCATAAAAATACAGTAATAAATACAGTAATTATACAGTAATAAATAAGTGCACCGACACAGCTCTTTCGAAAAGATGTAATGAAACATTTAAAAAAAAATTTTCAACAATGTTGCTACTTTATATTTGCGATACGAAGAATAGTCCATTGTGTACGTATTTTTTCTGTGCTCCCACTTTTATATTCTTCATGCGTCATCGCTGCCGAGTGAGCGAAAGTATCAGGAGCACACGAGGAGAGTTGGTAGATCAAGGAAAACTCTGTCCTCTTATCTTCAGCATCTAACACCTCCTCGATCTTCCTGTAATCCTGCATCCTCGAATCAAAAATCAGCACGAAATTCTAAGTGAAGTTGGTCGTCATGACCTCTTGCAACTTATAATGGTGAAGATATTTTTGTTTTGAGAGAAACAATTTCGACAAGATAGTCTCGATTGTTCTGCCGAACGAGGACAATTATTCAGAAAATTTTTATTGAAGAGAAATAATTTCTTTTGTAAAATATTGCTATTATAATTATACAGGGATCTATAGAGCCTCATTTTGCAAAATACCTTCTAAAACTTTATGAAAGATTCCTTGTAAATTCTTGTTAAAGGCCAAATTGCAAAAAGGGGGTTGCCTAGGTAATTATACAGAGAATATTTAAAACAGAAAGCAAGAGAATATATTGCTTTGATTTTTGGAACGGAAAAAATTCTCAAGTGTGTCAAGGCTAGGTCCGCCATCTTGGATTCATAGCGTCCCTAAGTTTCGCTGCCAGGAGACAAATTCTAAAATTACTGTTCCTAGCTTGTAACTATAATTACCTTATAATAATTGTTTACTACATAATTATCTTTTATAATCCAATGACATAAATGAGACAGCAAATAAAAATAACAGAATCTTTGCAGAACAAAGATATTTCTTCCAATAAAATCTAATTCCTCCACGAAACAAAATGGTAGATAAAATTCTGTTCTATAATAAGTGCATTTCATAATAATCGCACTCAATTAACCATCTCCATGGCGTTACTTAAAGGCTCTCAAATTTTCTCATACAAAACGTGCGAAATACGATGAATTTTGAGTGCACTGTTAACATAATTATTCCCTTAACTATCTTCAAACACTCGAGAGCATCAATTACTTCCATCACAATATTACTCCTTCACTCCATTAAAAACCTGTAACATATTTCAAATACTCCGTAAACATCAGACAAGTGCTTCAATGATAATAAGAGTGGCATTTTTCATTCTTTTATTAAAACATTTATAAAAAAGGAGTAAAATATATTTGATACAAGTTACTGGTAACAATGCGAATATAATAGCCAAGTATAAAAGCGAACAACAAGAGCCTTCTATCTTCTCCTTCCATTGAAGGACGGGAAAAAATGGCGCGGTAATGGATACAGATAATTTATGCGTCGTTCTGTTGCATTCATGCGAAAGAATCGCATTTATATTAATGCTCTTTAATCCCGAGGCAATCGATTCGAATTGGAAATTGCTGGATGAAGTCTGCCAGCTGGAAGTCTGTGCAACGGCACAGCAAGAATACGAGTTATCTCTCCAACCTCGCCTGAAACGGTAAAAGGAAATTCTACAAATTTGTTATTAAAATCGAGCCTTCTACTTTGCCTTTATTTCGTGGAAAACCGTCGCTTAATCCTTTGGTTTCAGGTTGTGATTGATGGGGATTCGAGGAGGAGATGGTGGAGTGAGATGGTGGAGATGGAGAAAATGGAGGAGTGAGGGAGGATGTTTAGGAGATGGCCATGTAGCGGGAGTGGGGATGTGGACGCTTGGGAGTTTGGGATGTGGAAAGGGGAGAGTGGAATTAGGAAAGTGGGAATTTGGAGAGGTGGGGAATTTAAGAGGTGGGAAATTAGAGAGTGGGGAATTTGGAGAGATGGGAGATTAGAGAGTGGGGAATTTGGGGAGGTGGCAAATTAGAGAGTGTGGAATTTGGAGAGATGGGAAATTAGAGAGTGGGGACTTTGGAGAGTTGGGAAATTAGAGAGTGGGGGATTTGGGGAGATGGGAAATTAGAGAGTGGGGAACTTGGAGAGTTGGAAATTTGAAGAGTTGGGAATTTGGAGAGTTGGGAAATTAGA